GAGCGGTGGTGTCTAATTTTGCACCTGAAATACTATCACCATCAAATACATCAACCATGCCTGCCCTGCTTCTTTAGTATCATCAGATTGGCCTTCGGGTTTCTTGTCTCGTTGGTCTTGCGCTCTTCTTGAACCATCCATGGACGAAGACTAAGTTCTTAGCAGTCGAGCGTATTAGAAAGGGTTACGTTTCGAGATGTTTCTCGAGTGTTTTAGGGCCTGTTCGGTTGCGCGGTTGCGTTTTGCGTTTTTGATACCTATTCGGGTATAGCGCTATAGTAGGGGTAGATAACAAGGAGTCCTGGCTAGCGTTGCGGTTTAACTAAGCCCAATATAGATAACAAATCACGTGACTAACGTAGTAATCTAGATAGCCAATTAGAGCTAGTAAAAGCAGAAAACGCAGCGCCAAGATACAGCCGCTGCCCCCCTTGCTGCGGTTTAGAATCGCGTTTTGTCTATTCCTAATACAGCGTGATACATGGGTAAAGTAAGTACTAGACATAGCTTTTTTACTTAGTGCTACGCTAATAAAACGCAGCAAGGGTTGATGCTTGAAAAACGCGCGTTTTACCGAACAGAACAGCGTTTTTGGCTGCGGTTCAAAAACGCAGCCCAAATCGGGCTTAGTAAACCGCAACCGCAAAACGCAAACGCGCAACCGAACAGGCCCTTAGTCAGTTACAAGGAGGACATTGGCTTTACTGTAGATCGATCGGCAGAGAATGCCTGACCACCCTCCGACCGGACGAAACGCGGACCAAATGGCAACGCTACACTTACCTAGTTGACGCCCGATTCGAACTACTCAACTCAAGTCGAACAATCATTTACTGTGCTACGTAGCAGAATCGATCTATTATGTGGGCTCGCTTGAAAATGGAAGGTATAGGCTGGAGTAGAGAGTAAGAGCTATACCATACAGAGTGTAGTTCCTATAGTAATTACTGGCATACATCGGTAGGTTTCGTTAGCTCGACTTTTCAGCCAGTTAGATCTAGAATAAAATAATCTTCACTAGGGTGATATTGACAAGTTTTATTACTATACAAGCCACTACAAGAGTTACTAAGATCATTTTAAGAGCCATGTAGCGGGATTACGGGTGAGAGCAAGGGTAGAAGTAAGGATAAACTAGCATTTCTCTAACTATGATAAATCAGGTATGGTGATCTGAGGAAGAGCCGGACTATCGTTTAGCGTCTCCACAATTATAGCACAGTATAAGAGTCGTCAGGAGCTGTTCAGAATGAACAGTAAAGCAAAATTTCCACAATGTCGAAACCAAAGGTTCTTATCGTCGGTTGCGGCGCCGTGGGCTTAAGCCAGGGTTATCACCTCTCCGCCGGTGCAGACATTACCTACCTTGTGAGACCCGGTCGCAAACCAGCATTTCTAGCCCCGAAACAACTCTATGCGTACAAGACGGATACACTACACACTTTCTCGTCATACCGTGTTATCGAGTCGGTCGCCGAGGTCAAGGGTGAGATATTTGCTTTCGTTCTCGATACCTTGGACGGCCACACCGCACGCTTAGAGAATGGCGTCACAACGATCCGCTCGGTAGGCAATCTCGTCAACCAGCCACAGAACAAAGAGTGCTTTGTCATCTTCGATGCCGTCGGCTTAGATATAGAAGAACACTACGCCAGCAATCTGCGCTTGCCGAAATCTCGCCTTCTAATGGTGTCAAGCATGCTTGCGCATCAGCCTACGCCCAAGATCTCAGTCCCTGCTGCAGCAAGTAAGGATCTTGTAGCCAAGGCAGATATATTGTATTCTCCTGCGCTGCCCGGTGTAGGCCTTCTGATAGGCAACACACAACCCGCACTCGTCAAGAAAGTCGCTGCGATCTACAACGTCAATGGCGAGCTCGTTATCAGCACGATGCCTGCATTCATCAACGCCTTGTTTCAGTCAATTGCACTCCTTCATCTGGTCATTTGGAATATTGACGGCTTCGGGCCGTTCTCGCACCTCCGTTCCAACACCGAACTCTGGAGCTTACTTCTACGGGCTCAGACCGAGATTCTACGACTTCCACGCTTCGGCTGGACGGGCTGGTTGCTCTCGCTTGTAATGAGGAGCTGGGCCACGGAGAAGGCGATGACACCACCTGTGGAAGGCTCTAAGCCGCTTGTTTATCATGAGTTTAATGCGTTTCATCATGGGGGTAAAGTCTCGAGGCAGGATCTTATGATCATGGAAGAGATACTGGATGAAGGAGAGAAGTCGGGAACGAAGATGGAAGCATTGCGGGAGGTGGTGAGGCGGGTAAGAGCATTGAGGTCATGAAAGCTCGGTCGGCCAGTATGAGATAAAAATGGAGCCAAGCTGAAACAGTAGAGGGAAATTTGTAAGCTTCAATTAGCACCTTTTGCAAGAATATATGTGTATTTCCTTAAAAAGGTAGCTTCAAAATGCTTCGAAGTACCCATGGTATGTAATCTATCACGAATTAAGCGCGAACTCGGCATTGTATATAGAATATCGTATCTGAACATGGAGTTATCTTCACTAACACTTATTTATAGAATAGTAAAGATTCTGGTAACGTATAGATTATACAGGACTTTTACGCGCTATTGATATCCGAAGCTACCTTGAGCAGTTTTCGATGCTCTTTATTATTTTAGTATCATCACGACCTTCTGAGAGCTATATGCTTAGTGGTTGGTCGTTCTTGCACCGGCCTCAGCTCGTTAGCACCAGCTACGATGCAAATGCAGCTCAGCCGTAGCCACAACCGCCAAGCTGAATAATATATTTAAAGCCTCTATGGGGCCTACTAAAAGTAGATAGAAAAGTAGTTACCTATAAAAGCTCACATGTCCTTCAATTTGAGCCAAGTCCTTCAACCCCCAACCTGGCCACAGCCATCCACATCCTCGACGAGGGCGCTCTGCTGGGTATGAAGCGATGACATAGCGGAATTGGCTGCTCTGGCAGCCCTGGAAAGAGTCTTTTCCGTCGTTGGGCCTCGTGGTGCGCCATACAATTGGCAGTCGATGGGTTGAGGAGTTGCAGAAGCGCCGGCTGTAGTAGTACGTGGGGCTGCACAAGCGAGTCCGCCATGCATGCGCTGAGCTACTTAGCGCCGATGCCAGTTTTAACAAATGTATACTTATCGGCCGAACCAACTCTGCTAGCTTTCAAGGCATTTTAACTCCTTACTCTTAACTGCAAGCTTTGTCTCGTGATCTTAACTACATGTTTACGAGATTGCGAATCCAACGCCTCATCGATCCTCTAAGCGACAATGGCCATTATGGCTGAGATCCCCTCCGTAGCGACCATACTAGAATACCACTGTAAGTAATCCCAAACTATCTATTGCACGCGAAAGCTTCTATAATAAATTCTCTGACATCTTTTAGCAGGTTCACCGGGAACCTGGGGATCACGCCGCTTAGATCTATTAGGCCAGAATGTAACCCTACCAGAAGTGTGCTTCATGTGAGATATGAAAAGACAAAACAGCTTGTAATATACGGGACTTCTAAAACTAATGACTGCATGTTTCAGCTTCCTAAAGTCGGACGACTGGTGGCCAAAAAGGTGCTCGCAGGCCAACCGCAAGAAGATACTAGCGGAGTTTCACGCATCGGATATTCTTAGCAGCAAGACTTGCGCCAAGCTCAATGGGTACTGTGGTTCTTCAAGCTCTTTTTCGGGAGATGGGGACAACGCCAAGCTTGATAGGCTCAGTGCGTTCTTTCTACTTGTTCTCTACATCATTCGATAGATTAACTCATCAACTAACACTAATATCGACAGGCGTGTGGTTCAAAATTCTCACCAAGAGAGTTCTGGCGAAGGAGGAAATGCAAGAATCAGAAGATGGAAAGGACTACAAGTGGTACGAGATGAGCTTTTTCATGCGGTGGGAAAGCGCACACACCAGGAGGGTCTTATGCATTGGCGCATCACCACAAATGAGTGCTACGCTTGAGGCCATGGTCAAGGAATCTCCACCGCCGACTTTCGAGTCGCAAGACCCCCTTGCGATGCTTAAACCCCTGTTCGATGAGGTTATCAAGTTGTGTGACGAAAACATATGGGCGGTAACAACGAAGGTTCGGGATATTGAACTTGTACGCTACTTTCCCCAGTACTATACTTCAATGTAGTCACAACACTACTAACACTCATATTCCACTAGAACAGAAAAAGAAGATGCGAGTTCGATACACTGCGCAACCTAGCACGGCATACAGGACACGTCATAGAAGTCGAACAGGTAGCCATCGAGACGATGGAGCAGCTGCTCAATCTGCAGGAGAGCAACTTCAAGCATCTCAACAAACTCACAAAGACATACACGGTACAAGCGAGGGAATACCTGGCGTTCCAGTTGCAGGTGATGAAGAGCCTGAGATGGCGCGCGCAGTCCACGCATGACCGACTGGAAGAGGAGATAAATCTGGTAACCTGGACAATTCATATCGTGTATTCAGAGCTGACCCAGTCTCCGTAGGCCTACAACATGCTTGCAAGTTCAGACAACGCAGTCATGAAATCGATTACCCTTCTCACGATGATATTCCTACCAGCGACTTTCATATCCGTAAGCAACGCGGAAAAGGTGTGGACTAAGTCACCCAAGGCACTTACTTACTCATGCTTTAGGCGCTTTTCAGCACAACATTCTTCTCATTCGAAGAGAACGGATGGCAGTTTTCCCCCAAGTTCTGGATCTACTGGGTCGTTGTTATTCCTTTGACCATCACTGTAGTGTTGGGCTGGTGGAGGTGGATTGGTGGATCATATGAGGGTCTCCGGGGGCGGTTCCTGCACACCAAGGATCCTAAAAGTCCTCTTTAGTGATGGTCGATGCATCATTTTATTGCAGGGAATGTTTTATAGGTCTTCCGAATTAGTTGAAATGTTGAAATATGAGATGAATAATCACGCCCATTTCCCCCTCAACTACACTGATCGACAATTCCTGTTGACACCGAAAAGAGCACCGCTAAACCCCCCTTTCCAAATTAACCTCATTTTCTGTCTAGCACTGAATCAGATACCATGGTTACAACTTCTGCCGAGCTTGTACTGTGTTGTTCTTCTGGCACGTCAGGCGACCACCTGTGTGCATCACCCAACCGATCTGCTGTGAGACCCGCCGAACCCGGGTTACGCATGCCGGACTCGAGTTGTTTTTGATAGCTTACTTGTCTCAACCTTTGGGCCTCTCTCGGCGTAAGGTGTAGATAAACCTCAACACCAATAGCATGCAGCTCAAGAGAGAGCCATAGTGCCATGCCAAATTCTGCATTAAATGCTGCGCCCATATTCGCTGCGTCTCCTACCCCAAAGGTCGCTGCCACGGCTGATACTGCATCGGGATCCGTACCATCAACGTAAGCAGCACATGCTGGATACGAATTCGCAAGATCAATGTCAGGGGTGATGGTTGCGGCGATCCTTGCGCATGTCCAGACGACGTAGTATCCTTGCTTTGCAGTTACTTGAGCCGAAATGATGAGAATAATGCGGAGAGTGACAATGGCACCCGCGTAGAACCATCCCCTAAGCATCCATGCCCCGATGCTGTTCGATTTGCAAACGCTTTACGTTGATATAGCTGATAATGAAGCAGGCCAGCGTACTTAGGCCTAGAACGCCGAGAGCGCTCTGCACTTCTAGGCCGCCGCCGAACGCGTGTCGCATTATCATGAACGCTCCTGCAAGGCTGACCAGGAACAGGAGAAGTGCAGCATATCCGCCAATGCGATGTACGATTATCCAGCGGTGACGAATAAATGGTGTAAACTGTGCAACAGCAATCAAACTAGCGGGAAGAATACCTCCCAGATGAAGCAAGATGCCGACCTTGTATTGTGTGAAGTTGAGGTAGTAATAGCATTCTCCTGGGGCTGCGCTGTTTCCACTCTCGCTCGGTCCATCGGCCGGGCAGAAGTTGTGCGAAAAGTTAAGGTAGGAAAAACGTGCTAGGACGACTGAGGCAAAGGAATTAGCTCGGGAGAGGCGGCTCGAAGATGGAAAACCTTACAGTCAGTAAGTGCTCCACCGAAGATTATGTACAACCAAAAGTTGTAGACTTTGGTAAAGCCAAGTGGGTTCACGACTCTTCGGGCGAAAGCGCTAGTTGAAGGTGGCTGGGCGATCATGATGCTTTCTTGATGGGTAAATAAGATGGATATATTTTATTTGTTCTTTTAGGTTGAAGAGGTGTTCAGTAATGATTATCGTATGCTGTAACATGATGTTTCCTTGCCAAAGCTGCCACATCTTTATACAACTCTCGACTGTTCTATCCTATGCCTTGTTGAGATGATTTTGCGCTTATGGCTAAAACTTCTGATTGTAACATTGAGGGTTTCCAACACAGCCTTGGGGCGGTGGACCAGTAGACAACAGAAGTGCGATTCGTGTGATAGCACTGAAACTCGATCACAGAGCCAAAATTGATCGTAGCACTCAGAAGAAGCAGTGCAATGGAATGCTGCCAAGCAGGGAAATGGTTGAACTGCGCTCTTAGCGATGTACTTGACGTACACATGGACAGACATTGATATAGTGCGATATAGTACGATATAATGTAAGTAGCGCTACAAATAGATACGCCGATACTACTCAGGTGATAACACATCTACTAGACCAACGCGGCGTAAGTCGCAGAGCTATGTAGGAAGATAATGTTACAAGTAACAAGAAAGATTCTCTCTTTAACAAGTGACGAGATAGCTGAAGGCCTATGGACGTCCACGTCAGAAGGTAATAATCACCGCGGGGCGAGGATCACGTAATTAATATTACGCTAAGATAACTATTAGGCGCTAGCATATAATAGCAGCAATCCTTTAATAGCAGCTATTAGAGACATTAGGCTAAGAGGAAGAAAGTCGTGATAGTAGTGATAGTAGGACAGGAAGCAATAAGGATATAAGGATAGATAGATTTCATTTTTTACTCTCGTTGTAGCTAACTTAAATAACACTTTCTTACTAGTTACTTTACTTTATAAGATTGTTATATAGTTATTAGTCTATAGTAATATAGATTAGTATTTGTTAAAACACTAGTTAACTATATCTATAACTCTTTTCTACTACGAATCGCTAGACAACTCTCACGGAGCTAGTTTCTATTCCTACTCGCCCTCACCCGGACCGAGCCAGAGAAGTATTAGCATCCAACCCCGTGTAACAGATAAGGGAAGCTTGAGGGATATGTATTGTTTTTTGTTATATGTTTCGTTACCTCCATTAAAAATTTGCGGCAGCGAGGGTTTGAATAACGAAGTAGACTATAGATAGCAGCAAGCGAGTGAAGTATCTGGAATTAAATGGAGGAGTAAGAAATAGTCTAAAAGGCTTTGTATAGTAAAGCTAAGATAACTCCTAGCGAGACTAATTAACGCGTAATATAACGGAGTAGGCTATATCACCCTTTGGGAAAATAGGGTCGCTATGACGCTTTAGCTGCAGCCGGTGCTGCTTCTAAGGCTCTGGCTAGTCGTCAGACATCTTCAGCGGCCTTTTGCGTGCAATTTGATGCTCTGATTCCAAGAATTGAGATACTCGCTGTTGTCATGTTTTCTTTCGGAGGAATAAAGCACTTTGTGTCGAAACGCCGGAATGATTTAGCAAACCAAGCCTAGGTATACCTGTGTCTGAAAACTCTCCGTCAGATATCGTTGTGAAAGCGAGAAGTCAGACTGAATAATGCAAAGTTGTGCACCCCGCTCGCTAGTGCTTATTTATGATACATAACCGTGATCGGCGCGAGCCTTGAGTGGTTGCTAGTTCTCTAAACTTCTGCCTGCCAGGGTGGGCAAGGAATTTGAAAGGCACCCCCGCAGTACCCGCCCGTCTCGTCCTAGTTTATGTATTGTGGCACGATACGTGATGGAGCTCAAAAGATCAGAGGGGCGACCCGCGATCGAGTAGATAGAAATAAGCTGATATTTAATCGCTGCAAAGGATTGATTGGAGAAGGTGTCTTTCTCCGTACGAAAGAAAATCTCAATATATGTCGTAAGGTAGTCGCGTGATACTACACCACAGTATGGATATTCTTTTCAGCCGAAATTGGAGTTGAGGGCCTATCTCCATCCAACCGAACGGTGCGTTCGGAGGGTTCATCGCCGTCGACAACTGAACGTCCGAAACCGTAGAGATTACGCACAAAGTACATAATGCGCCGGGTGTACCCATATCGGGTAGTTTTGCGATCACACTATCTATAAATTGGGCTTTTTAATTCATTCTAGGACTTGGATATTCACCGGGATAATCAATCACTCTGTAGCCATAGCAATCTTTGTGCCCACCTCATTAGTAAGTCTTTTCGTCGTAACCTCATTAATATGAAGCTCACCTGCCAAGGCTTTATACATCATTTACAAAGTATTCTACAATCTCTTCTTGCATCCATTGCAGCTATATCCCGGCCCACTGCTGGCTCGTTCCACGAATCTTGTATATAACAAGCACATCGCAGCTGGAGACGTACACATATGGATCAGACAACTCCACGAGAAATATGGACCATTTGTACGCATTGCGCCAGATGAAATCACATGCGTCGATGCTCAGGCATGGAAAGACGTCTACGGATTTAAAAGAGAAATGGTCAAAGAGGAAAGATTTTACGGCAAAGATACTATGAACCCAAATGCACCAGGAATTGTACGGGCAAACGACGATCAGCACACAAAGATCTGCAAGGTTTTAGTCATGCGTTTAGTGATAAGGCGTTGCATCAACAACAACTGATGATCAAGACGTACGCAGACATGCTTTGTAGCAAGCTCAGTGTACTGTCAGCCAAGGGTGAGAAGGTTGACATGGTCAAATGGTTGAACTACACGACTTTCAACATCATGGCCGACATGACATTTGGCGAGTCTATGGAATTGCTAGATGGCTCTCCAAACAGCAACTGGGTCGACATGCTGTTCGAATTGCTGCAGTTTGTAGCCTATAGGCGTGTGATAGCCCATTGGCCAAGCCTCGCGGTCATCGGCCAAGCTCTAGTAGTAAGGCTAAAACATGCTCACATGCTATTTCTGTGTAAATTAACCGGCTCGTCCTGCCAATTAGATGCGTCAACATCTCAAAGAACGAATCAGTAAGCACCAACAATTCACTAATGAGCGCATCTACAAGCGTCTAGCGCGCAAGGCTGAAAAGCCCGATATGTGGTCCTTTGTCGAGGACAAGGTTGGCAAAAAGGAAGATGCTCTTCACAAGAACGAGATTGCCTCTACCGCTGCAAATTTCATGGTTGCCGGTACAGAAACTACCGCGACCACACTCGCTGGTTTACTCTACCTTTTTTCCAAGAACCCTGACAAGAAGAAGCGCCTTCAGGATGAGGTGTGCAACACCTTCTCATCGACTGAAGAAATGACCCTGCAGAAACTCGCGCGCTTGCCGTATCTCAATGCATGCATTGAGATAGGGACTGCGGTATTATCCACCAGTCGGCAACGGCCTTCCGAGGCTAGCCGTCGTGGACAGTGTCCAAGTCTCTGGTCGATATCTTCCAAAGGGCGTAAGTAGAATGTTTTTTTAGGACTTTGCAAAAGTGAATTCTTAACCATTGCCGTTTTTCTGTACTTAGGCCATCGTGACTATACCCCAATGGGCTGTGTACCGCAACTCGGTCGATTTTCACCGCGCAGACGAGTTTCTGCCCGAGCGCTGGATGCCAGAGGGCCAGGCTGAGTTTGGCAGCGACCGCAAGGATGTGCTTCAGCCCTTTTCATATGGACCACGGAATTGCCTTGGCAAGAAGTATGTATCTCCCCTTCTCGCTTTTGCAGAGAACATGTCTAGATAGATGTGTACTAATGTTGTCCAACAGCTTTGCTTACCATGAAATACGCGTCTTGCTTACTGTGATGTTGTTTTACTTTGATTTTGAGCTTTGCTCCGAATCCAACGGGTGGGTCGATCAAAAGATTTTTACTTTGTGGATTAAGCCTCCGCTATGGATGAAGCTAAAATCCCGTGCAATATAACAATCTCCTGGATTGATTAGCGTATTAATACGCTAGACAAAGATGGTGTAATGTAAACAATACCACAAGAGTAATTATAAGTAAACTTAAAGAGCTTCCTAGAAACCGTAATCAAGAGTTTTGGCATTGACAGCAAGACAGCCGCACTTTTGTAGATACCTTCTGGAGTCGTCTTAATAGTTCCTATCCTCACATCAACACAGCTGGCTGGGGAGTACAATCAGCGAGGCGTCCAAATCCATCGCACTCGTCCTGGCCGGTGGTGGTGCTGTGCGGTGACATATGTGTGTTCATTGTCTTCTGGCAGACCTGCTACGTCTTGGAGAACAAGCCGCCGCGGAAAGTTAGAAGAGAGCAACACGGACATTACAGAGAACGAAGCCGGGTTCGTGGACAAGACCGATGATCAAAAAAAAAGCATTCCAGTATCAATTGTAGATGTATACGAAAACTTCGATTTCAACTAGCGGGAGCAGCCTCAAGGATATTACCATAGCCCCCAACAGCGCGCTGATCGCCTATTGCCAGGTTCAGAAAGTATGAGTAGCTTGGGTTACTCATTATTGTACGTCGCCCGATTGGTTGAGGATATCAAAACCTTCAGAGTCGTTGTTACCCGCATTGTTGTTGTTGACCCCATTATTGTTCAGAACATTTCTGCTGTTCGGATTATGAGCGTTGTTGTTGTTGTTGTTGATTCTGGAGGTTTTGTATTCATCATCCGTAACTTCTTTGGTTCCTTGAAGTTCAGGCGGGGCAGGTTCTTCGGTTACTTGTTTACCATACGGCTCGGCATCTCCTGGCTTCTCAAGATGCCAGAGATGCCATTGTACGTCGGGTGGCGTTTTCTCGTCGCTTCCTCTATCGAGCTGAAAACTGCATGCCAGCAGGCCCAGCTCGCCTCTGGTAGTGTCGAGGCGTCGAGTATCAGCTAATATCATAACTTCGCTAAAACTATTCTCGCGTGGCACGGGCTTGAACTGGTAAAGAGGGTAACTGTCTCGATCAAAGGATTGTTGTCCTCCATTTCTATCCATGTCGCTCACAATCACACCATATCGCGGCGCTGCATAGTCGTAGCGGGTTTGATTGCCCGAGCGGATTGTCTTGGAGAATGTGAACATGAATATGGCTTTTCCAGAAGGATCCGGTCTTCCAGAATAACCCAGTTGAATACTGGTCGCATTAGCCATGGATGATTGATGCGACGCGAGGTATGAAGGGATTTCCCTGAGATTTCTCCTCGTAACCTTGAAATCACCAATGAAACAACCAGGCGGGTTGATCTTTTTTCTCTGGAAGTTTTCCTCTGAAGTATTCAACGTCACGTTGCCGCAAGTAACATAACACCATTGTTTACCCTGTACACCAACCAAATTTGGGGGGAGTGTGTGAATGGGATGAGGAGGATATGGATTAATGGGAAGGGAAGCGTGATCAAGGTAGGCGGGTGGGCGTTCTGGCACAGCAGGATTCTGCGGTTGTCCACCCCTATTGCCGATCATAGGTAGTTGGGGTCGATCTGGCAGCTTCTGGCCCCTTCCAATTGGAATTTGACCGCCTCCTCTCTGCATAATGAATAGATGATACTGGGATGAGTCCTCTAGATGCTGCTCAGTCAAAATGTTGGCAAGAAATGGTGGACAAGTGGTGGAGGACTGAGTGTTGTTCGGGGTGGAGGAGCAGAATATAGCGTGCTGTTGGATGAAGCAGAGTTGGAGTAGATACTTAGCTACTACCAAGCAAGCGACCAATCGTGCGTGTGACAATCAGCCAGCCACATTGAGCACTTTCAGTAAGACCCCGCTTTCGCATACACGAGGTATGCTATTGAAAGAAGAAGATTAGTAGAAGATGGCAACCACTAGGTAAACGACTCACAGGCCGTGGTACAATCAGCCAGCCACATTGAGCACTTTCAGTAAGACCCCGCTCACACGCATACACGAGGTATGCTGTTAGAGAGTTTAAGAAGATAGCTGCTATCAGGCACATTGGACGCCTTCAATAAAATCTAGATCATATGTGCACGAATGCAGAGCTACGTCGTGCCATGTCGCCTTTCTCCGAGCTGACCACGGCCTAAGCCAGAGTGGTGACGTATACAAGAGGGCCAAGAGTTCACCAAGCATTGGCGTCGTTTTATGCTACAGCTACCAGTCTAAGCCTCAGATTTTGGCCATGAGACAGTCACGAACAATCGAGCTTCGTTTTATAGCTGGCGTTTAAACACTTTTTGTGCACAAGCACTTTTTAAAACGACCATCACCTGAGATTGCACGTCTACGATCATGCTTGCATCAGACCATCTACGCAGTTGCAAGTAGTTTAATGATATCGAGTCTACTGTAAGCGCTGGTGAATAGTTCCTAGTTCACATCATATACACATCGAAATCGAACCCAAGCCAAAATTTCCAATGTCTGCACGCACCCTTAAGGGAGGCCCGTTTTCTCTGGGAAATGTGATAGTTATTGCCTTCTTGTCGACCTCTTGCGAAACTCCAGCCAGCATGTAATCATTCGAGTCTCCCAAGCCTCGTTGCTCGACAGTGTCGATTCGGAATTGCAAATCTTGCAAGTGATACTGAAACGGGCCCTGTCGAGTATTCAAAACCTCGGCTGCAACGTCTATTGTGGACTGCGCAGACATGAGCATAGCAGTCGGTGTGTTTTTGGGCTCAAATCGTGGCCAGGGCACCTTGAGATAGAGTCTTGTGGATTGAAGCTCCGGCGGACATTGATTGCGTCGACGTCCAAAAACGTCGTCTTGATAATCACGAAAGCCAGTGGTTTGATCGGAAAATTGCCAGCAGAGACGTACGCTATCGCCGCCCTTGATTGGTTCACCTGGTGTGCCACCGCTGGTCTTTTCGATTCGCCAATATTGATACTCATCTCGATCGGACATTCCAGGAATGAAGGCTCCTTGAGCATTTCGGAATACAACCATATGACTTGCTGGTGGTACTACTGGTTCTGCTGGTGCTGAATCTTTGGCTATGCTGTCGGATTGCGTTGGCGGTATGTAGCCCGGGTCCTGGAAAGGTACAGTGCGAAGAATCACGCGAGATCTGTGCTTTAGCTCGTATGGCATGCCATTGTTGAACTGAAAACACTGAATTAGTCCCGATTGCACTTGCTTGCGAATGATTGCACGTGGTGTATATACTCACTTCGTCTCCGAAGGGAGCCACCAGGCTCCATTGCGTTGCTGCCTACCAATGCGTCAACCAGAGTAGCCAAGTGGAAGCGTGGATCTTGACTTACGAACTCTGCATTATAGATCGATCCAAAAGGCGCAGTGCCCACTTGGAAGTTCTGAAAGCCATGCAGACAAGGTGCACGGAAAGTGGTAGGGTGAAATATGACAATATCTGTCGTGTAGTCTACACGAGCCCAGGGGCTTTCTTCAGTCTTCTGGGTGATTCCATTGAGTCTCGGTGTGGTCGAAGACTTTGTGTCGAAACCTAGGTAGAACAAGGCATCTCCTGGGTTTTCCACTGAAAGGCTGTTCGTGGGAGTCTGCACCTTGAATCTCACGTTTACAGCCATTGAGGAGTCTAGACGTACGTACTTGTTCAATGCCGGCAGTGCCTGTACGAACCAGCTCTGGGCGCTTTCGTACCCAGGCATTTCGCTGACCATGTCTATCATAGTGGAGAGGCGTTCTCGATTGATCACTCGCCACAGGTATGGTGACGCTGCTGTTGGAGCCCAGGCGGCGGGATTGTTGGCCAAGATTGTGTCGCCACCGACGGCTTCAAAGACATTGATTTCCTGAGTGTTTGACTTTTCGGTTGATTTATCATTCGCTACAGCAAATCAGTCATTTGGCTACCAGATTTTGTAACGATCACAGTTAGGTTCATACTCTTGACTTTCTCTTCATCGTGCTTTGCAGAAACCTAATCCCAACAACAAGTCAGCAGATGAATGGTTAGCGGAAGTCTGGGGAGATGCATACACCGCCATAGGGGGTCTGGACACTAGCGCCCACAGAAACCTTCATCTGTTCCTTGTGCTGTTCTGTGTCGGTATCTTTGTCCGTTTTGATTCGTTTGGTAGACAAAAGTCGTGCTCCTAGCGTTAGCTCTTGGCAGAATAATCTAGGCATTCAATCAGCGGAGTTTAAACCGCAAAGTGGATGTTGCAACTTACTGGCCGTATTGATCGTGAATAGCACGGACTGCGTCGATGCTCTTCTGATTTTTGGCCTTGTCGAGCAGCGTGACAAATTCTGGCGAAGGTTCGAGATCTTCCGCTCTCAAGAAGATATCGCATCGCGGATACAGGTATCGGGCAACAAGGGTTTGTGTAATGCTGGCCTTGCTTTCAGAGCTTTTTTTCTCGTTACTGGTAGCATATCCAGCACTTAAACCGACCGTAACGCCATACGCACCGCCCGCTGCGGCCAGCTCCGTTGACTGACTACTGAAATCGGATTTGGCTAGCGATATCGCGAGGCTGTCCTGACAGGCAGTAATTTCAATGCGTGAATCGTCATTGACTCGGAAGTTAGGTATGCCTCTAAGAGGTTTTGATTCGACAGGCGCCGCAATGATCGCCCGTTGCACTCCCTCTGGTACATCAGACTTTTGCTGCTGCAGCTCGTCGAATCGTTTCCTATCCGCTTCCGTGTGCTCAAAAAGCGACTTCTCAAAGTCGGCATTCTGAGCTTCAGCGAGTTTCTGCGCAGCCTCATCAATGACGAAAGTAGGTATCTGCGCTACGGGCTCTGCGTCAACCTTACATCGCAGTCTAAAAGCTGCTCGGGGTGCGCGAGCAATCTGACCAGTGCGTCGATCTATTTTCCAGCCATAGAAGACGGCACAGTTTCGGAGTATAATGCCCCATTGCTCTTCGGTGAGAGTTCCAGCCGTGATCACGTTCTTCTCGCCGGCGTTCATCTGGCTGGCATTATTGACGTTATTGTAAGGGTCCACGTAATTATTGCCAGCGGCGTTTGCCTTGTCGGCAGCAATAAGACTAATGGGTGTCGCCACAGTCGGGTTTGCCGCGACATTTGGCAAGTTGGTCGTGTCGGAGCCTGTGGGACCACTGAAGCCAAAGCCAGAGCCAGCGCCAGAGCCAGAATCTCCTGTGGCGCCGAGAGGCCCAGAACCAGGCATTATCCTGTTCGATGCTGGGCCAGTTGCATTTGAGAAATCCATTCCTGCAGTTGCGACTCTTGCAGGAGATCGATAGTAAATCGCGAGCTTTGGCACCTGTGCTTTGATTTGTTTCACCGGAGCTTCCTTTTCGAGCTCGACTTCCCCATCTTTGTTCGACGCCTTACCAACTGTTCCATCATGCTGTTCAGTATCGCCCGGCTTCGCTTTGTTGGGCTTCTCTGCATCTCCTAATGCCTTTTCTACTTGTTCTTTGGCAGCGGCATCAGCACCAGGCTTTGGCTCCTCTTTGGGCTCCGAGGTCGCTGTCTTCTGTGCATGCTTATTTTCACCCAGAGGCTCAACTTCATCGTGCTCATCGAGTGCGATATATTCATCAAGACTGATGGTCTCATCGGTGACCGCAGTTCCATCAGAAGTACAGAAGCGATGGATGCGGCTGAACGAACTCATGCCTGACTTGTGAATTAGTGCCTGCATACGAAGCCTAAAGGTGACACGAAAAGCTCACCCGGGGCAAGTTTGCGCAGTTGTCCAAGCGAAATATCGCCGGCATACTTGTCTGGCGCTTGAGAGAGTATGGTCTTGTTCAATGACTGAGAGAGTATGGAGCCCAAGGACTCGACAAACTGGTCGCCAGTCCGCCAGAGGTACACATTGATGGCGTATCGGCCACTTTCGAGAGTGGCATTTCGAGGTCTGACCGCCGGTGCAGGTTTCTTGACCGCTTGGCCACCTGTTGTGGGCATCTTCTGCGAGCCTTGTGCAGTGGCCCCTTCTCTGGGTCTGAGGATGGCACCACTTCTGGCTTTGGTCGATGCCGGGCCCTCATATTTGGCCTGAAGGACAGCACCACTCCTAGGTTTTGTTTCTGGCTGCTCATGGCCGGCAATGGCACCTGCAGGTTTTCGATTCATATTTGGACTTGAGATGCAAATCAACTGTGATGTGAAATTGATGGGTGAAGTCGCGGTACTATGGAGCGCACTCGTCGACTAACAGGCCGAGGCTCGCGTCGGCCACAATGGTTGAAAAAGGCAGAAAGACATGGCGCTTATCCCAAACGTGCCTTTGCGCCCAATCCATGCTCGGTAGGAGTTGGATCTTTGACGCCTCGACTGCCACTCGCGCACTCCGGCCTTTGTGGCTACCTGAGATGGAAGCCAAACAGACTCTAGGCCACCACCACCATGCCGGGTGAGGTCGTCCGCTAAGAGCGTGGTGTTCTTGGGTATGACCAATCACATAGCCGCCCGCACTTCACCTTACCTCTTTTAGACACATTAGTAACGCACCAGCGTTGGTGCATTTCCTTATATAGTTGCTCCTTTTGTTCGTGTGGCAGACGCCTTACTGTATTCTTGTGCAAGATGTGGTAGGGAAATGCATGCGAGCATCCAAGCTGAGATACAGCACATCAGCAGTAGTAGGGACGGGAAATAA